AGTAGAGGGGATCTAGAGAAAAATAAACGGTCTACGTGGAATCCGTGTTTCTAACGGTATTTATATCATCTATCCTTTGACTAGGAGATGCGAGACCGCATTGCGGACACTCAATCGCCGACATTTCCATTCATGTTCATTTCACATTCAAAAATTTCGGGCTGGAAAAGTATCACAACCGAAATGCAAGTCGATGGCATGGAATGATATTGTAACAGTTGTCTCGTCGCGATTCAGTCGCGACAATCAAATCGCGTGAAGTCTGTCCGGGGCCTAATAGTAACTATGGGAACAACTCCGGAGGATGCACGATATGTATAAATTAAAATAGTTTTGATAATATTCTGAGGATCAGATAACTCCAAAAAATATTTTCCGGAACATGATTGCCGCAGCCCTTTTTCTTGAGGTTTGGGGTCATACGCCAGTGAAAACTCGGAAAACGTCACAAAAAAATTTTTTTAGGGCGCTACTAACGTCACACTCATTCATCCAATTCATTTATTCATAGGAAGAACTCCTAAGGTTTCGTGAAGCCGAAGTCAAACATCCAGCTACCATCGTTCCCCAAGAATCATCTGACAACATCTAGACACTGATTGATTTTGCACAGTCATATACGAGCGAACATAAGCCCTCGCGCCGATGAAAATATTGAAAAACATTAGAAGGTCAGTCACATCGCGAATCTTCGCCCAAGTCACGTCATGTAAACAAAGATGCAGCAAACACACTGAGACCGTGAATTGTCGAAAGCGTAATTTCAAAGAGAAAGCTAGCTATGTATAGTAAGATGGACAAATCCAATTACAAGAAAATTTCTGGGAGCCAGTGCGCATAATCGGCGGCAGTTTCGCTTTCACATGTCGTCAGTGGAAGATTGTAGATAGGTCACTAGCGTTCATCGTCTATTCTATGACCAGGAGACGCGAGACCGCATTGCGGACATTGACTTAACAAGTCTGAGTTTGTTCTTCCCTAAATCCAAAGAGTGGATAAACCTGGACGAGATAAATAATAAGTATAATCCTGCTAAGTACACGATTAAGCTTGTTTAGACAAAGTGTGCAATGCGGTCTCGCGTCTCCAGTCATGGAATGAATGATAGGTTGTTGAGTGTTACCATTAACCTGCCCCACCCCGCTCTTGGCTTGTATGGGTCGTCGAAGACTTTTTTGGACTGGAAAAGTTTGTGCACCAATACCTTGTATACCATTCGATAGTTCACACGAGGAACTGATATAGACCGTCTCTTTTTTCTTAGCTTTTCTGTGAAGCGAAATAAGAGCAGTTTTACTTAGCTACAAAATCAGCCGATTCTGGGTACTTATCTTATGCTTCATTTTTGAAACCAAGAAGATCTTCTTCGAAGTTTTATATATGACTCGAAAGCTTTAGAAATGTATAATCTAATCGCTCTCTTCTTTGTTATTAGTTTCTCTAGTGAAGGGAGATATGGCGAGGTTCTTGTCGGTGAGCATGCATCCATCACCAGCAGTCCAAATTTTTACTCTTGCTCAACTCTTCCTTGCGACATTGTGTATTCAATGATGCCGATTTAATTATTCAAAAAATTACACATCCTTTTGAATTTCGATCATGTTTCGTTATCAAGGCCACTTTGAGTGCGCAGACGGTTCTCAAGCATGCGTTTTTTCTCAACAAGCTGTTGCTTCGATGCTCTCTTGCATTCTTGATGTCTGAGGAGAAGAGCAGCTGCCTTTCCTTTCCAAAAAAGCGCCGCTGTAACAGCTATTTAATTCTGCCGTTATGTCTCGATTCTAGCCTCAACCGCAGGTGATAGGGGTCAGCCAGATGCTGGCCCTAAAGCTCGATACATAGATACCTCGCTGCTTAGGTATGGACTAAACCAACGAGCAGCGAAGGCAGCGCTACTTCGGCTGATCAGCGCTGCAGTCGGTTGCTTCTTGAGTGCTCGTTGAGTGCAAAAACCATCCGAAATAACTGCGCTATCGCTTAATTTTAAAATGTTGAAAACGAGAGAAGTAGCACGTTTTGTGTTGGATCTTGAGTCGTATTCTACTTTTACGAAGAGTTTTTCATGATCCATTTGTCAATATCAAATTTATAATGGAAAGAAACTCATACGAGCAAACTTAAGAGAAGCATAAGTGTACTAATTCCATTTGCACTCATGATTTGCTCATGTAAGGAAGATGGACCTTGTTTTAAAGTGCTAATTTCAGCCTAAAACCGGTAAATAGTAGATTCAAAGAAAAGCAGCTGTTTGCAGCTTAAAGCAGCTGAGATACGTTCAGGAAAAGTGAGGTGACTCAGCTGCAAGATCTATTGCAGCGCTGATCAGCGCTGATCAGGACGAGCAGCGCTGCTTAAAAATGAGTAGGTATAACCTTTGCGTTAGCTGCTGCAGCGTCAGGCAGCAGCGTCACTCCGTTGCAGTCGATACGCATTGAATGCTTTCCTGCCACTACGTATAGACACCCGACGCCAGGTATGTATTAGAGGCAGTGTCTCACAAAAATTTAGTTGCCGAGATTTTTGCATTTTGCAAGCCTGTCGGACCCTTTCTAGTACTGTATGGGCTCAAAATCGCACGAAGTTTTCAAAAACCCCGTTTTCTGGAGGCCTCGCGGAAGCAACGTGGACGAGTTCTACCTTCCAACTTCAGCCTCAGCTACAGTGGCAGCAACAGAGGGGAGGTGGATGCCAAGTGGAGGGACATGTTCAAACGCGTTAGAGGGGAGACCGAAGAAGTCGTTCGCGCGTACCAAGTCGCTCTCCGCGTACCACTTTAAGCGAATTTTTCTCAGCGTGGAGTGGGTTAAATTAGGTGAGACTTGTTGTAATGGCTAATTTAGGGGTCCCTATAATAGAATATGTGAAGTTCCGTTCGACCTCAACTTTGGTGAGACACTGCCTTTAAGCTCAAAGCAGTGTCCGGGCAAAAAATCGATTTTGAGATTTTGTGCTTATCCGGGCCCATTCGCTTCCGATTTCAAGTCACGCATTCGCACTTGGCTTGTGGAAATGTCGGGGCGGCTAGCGAGATTGAGAAGATCGCTCCGAGAGCCAGGATCGTGAATTCTAGGGAGGACCCCGCCACTTGCTGATTTCCCTTCTGCGTTAAGGCCCCTTTTCGCCGTTTTTGCACTCCCAGTGTGGGATTTTCGGATTGAGCAAAGCGAATAGGCCTGGGTAAGCACAAAATCTCAAAATCGACTTTCTCCCTGAACACTGCCTTCAAAGTTGTGAGTAAGTTAGTAAGCCAATCGAGGTTAGTAGATTTATTAGTAAGTGGCGGCCTAATGTTTCGAACTATTCGTCTTCTTCAGAGGCCTCCTCCACCGCCGGCGCGCAGATGTTGAAAGCGGCCGTCCTTCAGTGCCACTGATACCAATAATTGGTATCAGTGGTATCTCGATTGGCTTACCAACTTACTCACAACACACTAACAATGCCGAGGTTAAGAAAGGAGGAAACTTGGAAACTGCTTTCAAAGTGAAAGGGGTCGGAAAAATTTCTCCACCTATGTCTATGCCTACACCAAATGCATGTTGCAGTTAAAATCTGACGCAAACTGCCTGCTTTTCATGTTTAGATGTTTTTTTGTTCTTAACTTCACGCACGGTCTATTTTGATGATTTGTCACCTTCATACATATAGGCTTACCAACCAGCATCGGTTACGCGACGTCCGCTGCGGCAACTTGCGACGAGCGGTGTGACGCGTGCGAAATCTGCTATGCGAAATCTGTTAGAGCGCGTGCAGGCGACGGTGCGTCCTCGCAAGGCGTACCAGCACGGGACCGATGCTGAGTGATACAGCCTATGCGTCGTACATGCCTTTTTAGATCGGATATCCCAAAATTTATCACTTTTATTTCAGGTAAGGGAGGTAGATGGGCAATCTTGCAGGATTTTGAAGTAAGTATGCTTTCTTCAATATTGTCGCATGTGAAAAGAGTAGAGTATCTTTTAGGTAGTACGAGTTTCAACTTCGTTCTCTTTGATGTCGAAGATTGTGGTTTTTATGTTTTTATTCTCAACCTTTCATTGAGAAGCCTCTTCTAAGTTAATTAGAATTGCTTTTGAAGGAATTCTGTGTTCTTCAGTTCAAAAGGTTTCCTGCTGCAGTAGCACAACTCCTGGCTAGCAGACCTACTTCAAAATCCTGTAAAATTGCCGATCCGCCTTCCTTACCTAAAGGTAATAGTGATGAATTTTGGGATATTCGATCTAAAACGGCATGCAGGACGTATGAAAGTGACAAGCTATCGAAAATTGGAGCGTATGTGAAGCTCAGAACAAAAAAAGCCAAAATATGAAAAACAGGCAGTCTAACGTCAAATTTTAGCTCTATTGTGCACTTGATTAAGTGCGGCACGGCGGGACCCCAGCGCTTCATTCAGGACTTCAAATTTGTGTGCAGTAACACATATCGCACCGAGTTGACTAGATGGATGACGTCTACCATACCTAATACGCCTAATCCACTTGATCCAGTTTATCTGCTTCGTCACTGGTCAAATCGGTAACTGAGCAATAGCTAAGGTTGTCCAGATTCACTTGATTCACTTCATCCACTTCACTGCTGGTCAGTCCACTGCTGACCGATAAAAGCGGATTAAGTGGATTAAGCGGATCGAGTATGCCGCGGGCCTTTCGTAGTAGCGTCAAAAATTACAGGGCTTTACAACCTGAGTGTCACAGCCGCCCCGCTCGGCCGCCACGCTTAGGTCCGCGCAGCTTTCGTGACGCTGGCTGCGCGTCGACTGAAGCTTGGCAAAAGCCTGGGCGATACGCCGCAAACGCCGCGCGCGGCCTGAGCGAGGCGGCCGCGTTGGAGGAGTCGCGCAAGCGGAGGCTGTGACTCTTATGTTGAAAAGCCCTGTACACGCGGTGAGGTGGGAATCGTCTCAACTTGTTACGAAATGCCTTCATACATCCGAACTTTTTTAGTTTCAGCTTGTTTGTTCACGCACTTCACCTACGCATAATTGTCAACAGTATCCTTTTATAATGCTGGAATACAGTGTGGTTCTTCCTATGACCGACACAGACTATGCTGTTGTTGAACGGAGTTTGTGCGGATTTGAATGGCAAGTCCAACTTCATTTCTATTGCTTTATCATCGTTTCTTGCTACATAGTTGAGAACTTAACATTTGAGAATCCAAAGAGTTCTATTGCACGTTCTTCCATTAATCTTGCGTTTACCCATTCAGTAAAGACGGATAGAGGAACGAACGCCCCAGTATGAGCCACCTTTCGGTAAAGTCAGCCTCTCAAACGGCTGGATTCGCGATGAGACTGTCGAGCAGAGCGCGTTATTAGTTTCAATTTTTTGAAAGATTTTTGGAACTCTTGCACGGAACGGATAGCGTTTGATGATAAGAAGGATCCAAAGAGATTTCGTCTTCCTTTTTGACCCATGCTTCTTTTTCCGCATGACCCATCAAAATCCTCTCCGGTTAAGTGCACACAGTCTGCTCCAGTCGGGATCAGGCCGAACCGTTGGCGTAAATTTGCGCGCTCGCAGCTCCAGCGGTCTGCGCTGCATATGCGCGCTGTCGGAGAGAGCAAAGATTGAGGAGAGAGAGCGGAGAAGTAGGCCGTGGGCGTGACCGCGAAATCCTACGACGCGGACTCCCGCCATCTAATTTTGGCCTGGTTGGGATTGGGGTGGACTGTATGCTTATTTCCGCGATAATTGCTGCGGCAGGTTCTCCCAATCATCTTAAGGCTAGAATGCATATTCTGACTAGAGCTACGGGAACTGAGGTTGTAATGATGTTGAAACAAGTGTACGTATTAGTATTCCACCGTGAGCTTCAACCGTGTGGTTACCATATAATAAGTTTTTACTCAGTTTATGCAGAAATTGGACTGGCGGGAGTGCGCTTCGCAACGATTCGCGCCGCTTTGTCTGCGTCTCTTCATTCTAATCTATCTCGCTAAGCCAGTGGCGCTGCTCCACTTGGATTGTTTCGCCTACTCCGGCTTGAAAAAAACTATACGTCGCCTTTCGCGGCCAACTGGTCCTGTTGTTGCATGTTGTTCCAAGACCACTAGTCCGGAGAGGCGGCCAAAACTTTCTCCCACTCAAACACTCGCACCGGCTGGCGGTCACGACGGCCGGCTGGTCCGTCACCGACATTTCGGCCGGAACGGTTGCCAGCCGGCCTCCAGCAGGTACTCGAACGGTTGCCGGCCGGTTTGCGTCAGTGGCGCAGCGAAATGGCACTTAGCCACACTGCTTCCTCCTCTAAATTCCAGCTTTCGTTCCACTATAATCTTGATATGAGATGGTACGAATCTACAACAGCATTTGTTGCAGCCAAAAGATACAATACGAAGAAACATCAAACTCTTGTACAGATAGCATGAAAAATACATTTGAAGCTACAAAACTAGTAACTTTCCATCTTTACGAGATCATTTGACGCAACTGGTTCACATATCGTTGGATAGTCGTTCCGAATTGGTTGAAAGGTCACAGAAGTTTTTTGTTTGAATGCGACACCCGACTGTTGATGAGCTGCTTCGATAACCTGTAATTGAAACAGACTACTGACAGTTTCTAACCGATATTACAACTTACGCTATGCACAGAATTGCGACAACGTCTGTTAGCGGAGCAACATCAAAAACGTATGCATTTCAGCAGACGGTTGAAACAAATGGATCTATCGGTCCCTAGAAAAATCGCAAAAGTAGGTTCAACTGTTAGTTAACTCAGACAGTCGACGGCATACCTCCGGAGCAGAAATGGCCAAGCCGCGGGGTTTCCCCAGCTGGGGATTGCCACTCGTGCTCCGGAGCCCTCCCATTTGTGCTCCGGAGAACTCCCATTTATGATCCGGAGACCTCCCATTTTGTGCTCTGGAGACCTCCCATTTTCTGCTCCGGGGCCCTCTCATTTATGCTCCGGAGACCTCCCATTTTGTGCTCCGGAGGCCTCCCATTTTCTGCTCCGGATACCTCCCATTTTCTGCTCCGGATACCTCCCATTTTCTGCTCCGGATACCTCCCATTTTCTGCTCCGGGCCCTCCCATTTATGCTCCGGAGCCCTCCCATTTGTGCTCCGGAGAACTCCCATTTTCTGCTCCGGGGCCCTCTCATTTATGCTCCGGAGACCTCTCATTTTGTGTTCTGGAGACCTCCCATCTTCTGCTCCGGGGCCTTCCCATTTATGCTCCGGAGACCTCCCATTTTGTGCTCTGGAGACCTCCCATTTTCTGCTCCGGGCCCTCCCATTTATGCTCCGGAGCCCTCCCATTTGTGCTCCGGAGAACTCCCATTTATGATCCGGAGACCTCCCATTTTGTGCTCTGGAGACCTCCCATTTTCTGCTCCGGGGCCCTCCCATTTATGCTCCGGAGACCTCTCATTTTGTGTTCTGGAGACCTCCCATCTTCTGCTCCGGGGCCTTCCCATTTATGCTCCGGAGACCTCCCATTTTGTGTTCTGGAGACCTCCCATCTTCTGCTCCGGGGCCTTCCCATTTATGCTCCGGAGACCTCCCATTTTGTGCTCTGGAGACCTCCCATTTTCTGCTCCGGGGCCCTTCCATTTATGCTCCGGAGCCCTCCCATTTGTGCTCCGGAGAACTCCCATTTATGATCCGGAGACCTCCCATTTTGTGCTCCGGAGGTGTCCCAAATCTGGCGTTCCGGAGGGCAAATCTCTGCTTCGGGGCTCTCCCAAATCTGGCGCGGTATGCAACAATCGCCCGTCCGGGAAAGTTACCCGGACTGGTAGTTTCCGCTTCATAGCTCGGTGCTTTGGGGATCTGTGTTCCTCCTTGTTTGTTCATCTTTGGGAGGCCCTACTACCCTAATATTGTAGCACAATGATTAGCAGCACTTTGCTGTATAAGCTGAGATAATTCGTTATTTTTATGACCCCGAACGGGATCACCCACTGATCACGCTCTTTTTTGAAGCTATTTATCCGCAACAACTCAAAGAAGACGTCACAGAGTTTTGCTATCTATTTATTACGACAGTGTTCCGCATGTTTGTGAAGGAAATAAGTGAAAAATTTAATTGAAAAAATCTTCGCTGAACCTGTGCTCGCGAATTGGGCTTTATCGAAAAACTCAAAACTTGCACATGTCATCTGCGCTACTAAAAACATGCGTAGCACTGTCGTAATAGATCCACAGCAAAACACTGTGACGTCTTCATTGAGTTTTTGCGGATATAAATAACTCTGAAATTGAGCGTGATCAGTGGGAGATCCCGTTCGGGATCATACAAATAACGAATTATTTTAGCTTATACAGCAAAGTGCTGCTAGCTATTGTGCTACAATATTAGGGTAGTAGAGTCTCCAATAAATAAACAAATAAGGAAGAACACAGATTCCCAGCGCACCGAGCTATGAAGCGAAAACTATCTGTCCGGGTAACTTACCCGGACGGGCGACTGTTACATACCGCCCCTGGCGTATCTCCGGAGCAGAGATTTGCGCGTCCCGGAGAAGGGTCCCACTCGCCTGCTTGTGACGTCACCGTGACCTACAAGAAGGGACCGCCCCCTCGCCCGGCTCTCAATGGTCAATTGGGTCCGCCGCGGCTCTGCCAGATTTCGACTGTCCGCCGCGACTATGACACCGATTGTCTGAGAAGGAGAACTTACAGCTTTTGGAGTGCGTCCAGCCGTAAGCACAGATTGAGAAATGCGGTAGAATATCAGACAACCAAAACCTCCAATTATGTTCTCCGCGCGTAGCAGGAACCGACAGATCAACGATCTCTAGATGAATAAGAATACTCGCAGAGAAGCAATAGTCCAGAAATCGACGTACTGAGAATATAAAGGAGCATTGGCGCTACTCCACATAGTTGACCCAAAAAATGAAAACCGTGAATTTGGCTAAAACTTCGTCTAGAGGGGGTTATTCGGCATGCTGAACAAGAATATGACGTTTATTTCATGCGACAGCGCCATCCGTTGGGATTACGGCAGGATTACTAGGTGAAGGGTCAAAATCGCGGATTTGCCCGAAACTTGGCCCTGCGGGATTATTCGGCCCGCTGACGCCGAATATCACATTGGTTTTGTACCGAGCGTCATTTTCTCGGGTTGCGGTGGGTATACGGTAGGGGGTCACAATCTCAAAATCCTCTGTAACTTCACACAGAGGGGTTATTCGACATGCTGATTAGAGATGTCACACTTTGCACGAAAACGTCTCCCTGCATGATTACAGTAGCTTCACGATAGGGGTCAAAATCACAAACCGGCAAATGTATCGTTCCCCTGTGCTTTGCTTAAACAAAAGCCGCTGCAGGGTGTGTAGCGCGCGGCGATGGTTGTGTGTGCAAAGCTTCACGATCGTCCGAATCGCCGTACACCCCTTTCAAGCAGAACTATGCTTTACACCCGTTACCGTGTAGCTACCGTAACACGAGAAAATAACGCTACGGTCTAAAACCAATGTGATATTTAGCATCAGCGAGCCGAATAACTCCTCTGGGCCAAGTTTTGGACAAATCCGTGATTTTGAGCCTTTAACGTAATTCTACCGTAACTCCACCGGATGGCGCTGTCGCACGAAATAAACATCATATTCGTGTTCAGCATGCCAAATAACCCCCCCCCCCACCCCCTCCTAGACGAAGTTTTAACGAAATTTACGATTTTTTTGGTCAACTAATGTGGAACAGCAGCCTTCTTTAAAAGCCATCCTTGTTTTCACGGATTTCAAACAATAATTTCAAACATGGACGAGTGAACGCAAAGCCCGGCATGGCAAAGGCGCAGAGTCGTTCCGGGACCCTTATGCTTATAGCATTGCGGCATGGGCGCTCTGACGGTAGAAGGAAAATCGCAAGGTGGGGGGCCTAGGGCATAGTGTCCACGATACCGTCGCGCTGCGATTTCTGAATGTACGACAACTGTTACGCACTCGTTGCATGTCTATGCGTCTGCTACGGCGCTTGTGATACTCATCCGGCACGACGGATCGCGGACCCTTTTTAGCTAGGGCATAGTTCTGCAGCGATAATCGCCGCGATTTCGGCAAAACAGCGAGTCGCGTAAAGCGTGTTGCACGGGCGATGGGTATCGCTGAGATGCGAGGGATATCTTGAGGAT